GCCTTTTAAGAAGCGTACGGCTTCTAAGTCTTCACTCCGCGAGGAGAAGGAGACTCGGTACTCCCATCGGGGCATCTTCGACTCCTCGGATGAAGAGGAAGAGAAGGAGGAGGAAGAGGAAGAGGGTGCTATTCCTGAGCCCCGGGAGATCACTAACGACCTCGACCAGCAGCAGGAGGACTTCCAAGCTGCCCAGCGCACGCGTGGGGGTCCGGTGGTGGCACCCGTCAGCCAGGGAGCTGTCATCAACTCGCGAGGGTATTGGCCTCCCGAGTAGAGCTCTGGGGCTGGCCTCTTCTTGGAGATTCTCCGTCGCTCCTCGTGGCCTTGTTGGCGGTCACACCTCTAGGGGCGTTTACGAACGTACCCTGGTCCAGAAGGAACAGTTGTTTGTCGACAACTTGGAGGCGGCTCGGTGTGTGCTTCTCACGCCACTCCGTATCTCTCTTAAGGACTTCACGACTCGTCGTAAGAAGGCCGAGAACCAAGGTTAATTACCCTCTTTGGGGCTACCCCTGGGTTCTTCCCGACAACTGATCCAACTGAAACTCATGTGAGGACTTGTTCTGGGCTTGGGTGGAGTCGCTTAAGTACTCACCCTCGAAATTACGGGAACCCCATGAAGATCAGCTGTTGTCCCGCATCCTAAACCAGCGTGAACTTCGTGTTTGATTTGCCCACATGGTCAGCAAGCGCATGCTGCCAAGGGACATCCTGAAGCGCGCAGCTTCTAGCGCTCATGATGAGCGATGGGTACGGAGTGTCGTCAACGTCCGCACCCCGTTCGGGCAAGAAGCCCCGTACTACTTATGAAGCTGCCGCCGCTTCTGTTCCGACATTGCGACAGCCTTCGGGCAGTCAATCAGGAGCCGTTCAATCGGCTCCCACGAGATCTCGGAGTGGGAATATCCCCTCCACTTCACGAGGAGCTGTCGCTTACCGCGACGCCGTTGCTCCTGATGGATCCGCTCCACGTGGAAGTGGAGTGGACTTCCCCATTCCGGTCAAGCAGGGGCGGAGGTGCCCTCGTACGAGTACGAGTACTCGGCGCCTCCCGAACGCCACTCTCGTCCGAGTGCTTCTCCTGCGGGTCCGACACAGGGCCCTGAGGCTGACCGCCTCCGTCAACGTGTTCTCGTGCTTGAGATTGCACTTGGCCTTGGGACTGGCGGTGATGCTGCCGCCCAGGCCGGGAATCAGGGCGAGCTCGCTTGTCTTGCGGGCCGCCTGGACCTGTTGGAGTGTGAGGTCGCGAGCCTGCATCTGCGGGTGGACCGGCGGGCTCTCTTCGACCGATCTGGACGAGGTCTTCCGCATGATCCGACGGATCGAGGCTCTGTTGCCACGTCCGGAGCCGCCTTCGACGCACTCCCAGACGTACGCGTATGGTGCGTACCCGGCGTACCCAGCGTACTTGGCGTATGGCTCCGGGGTCCGTTCGTGCGGAGCCCCTCCCGCGTACGGTCTTGACCGCAGCTTTGCCATCCAGACCTAGGCTTGAGCGCCTGCTCCGACGCCCTCGTCGACGTCTGTCACCGGCCCTCGCTTTGAGGAGCTGGGCCAAGGTGGGTCTGCGAGTCAGTAACCCCTGCAGATCATAGTACCGCTTATGACGTCCAACGTAGAACGTCGGGTGCGTCGTCATTGACTTAGGCAGGTCGGTGGTGTGCGATGCACCATGCCTGGTCAGGACTGCGAATGGTCCAATGAAGCGGTGCTTCAGCTTGTTGCTGCCGACAGAGCTGACAGTGTCTAGCGGTAGGTTCCTCGTGTCTAGTAGCACTAAGTCCCCCACCTAGAATACATATAAGTTTCCTCTTCCATGTTTGTCAGAGTACTTTTTGTCTGTCCTGGGCCGCTGCCATGTCATCGCAGACCCTGCTGATAACGCTCAGCTTGGTATCCACAAAGGATTCCACTTGTTTCCGCAGCGAAACTGGTCTCACATCTGAGACCTGGGAGGAAAGAGCTTTCCGAGCCTCTCCCCCACTTAGAATAGAGGAGTCAGTGTCTCCTCGAAGAGTGAGAGGCATGCTGGGGTGACGGAAGCCGTTCAAGTAGAACGGCGTGAGCCCCGTAGACGCGTGCACCGCGTTGTTGAGCGCAAACTCAACAACTGGAAGTTGCGTCGACCACGTACGTGGTGTTGCCGCGCACACACTGCGCAGAGTGTCATCGAGCGCGCTCTGTCTGGCCATCTGTCTGTGGGTGATCCGGAGTGGACATCTGCAGACGCGTTCCCAGTAAAGGAAACAGCGTTTTCCAAAACGCAGCCGTGAATCGCGGGTCTCGGTCCGAGACAATCGTCTCCGGGAGACCGTGATAGCGGAACACGCCATCGACGAAAAACCTTGCGGTTTGTTCGCCCGTAACAGTGACGGGGACCGGAGCAAGATATAACATCTAGCTCAGCCGACACACGAACACAAAAATTCCGATGTTGCCGTGTCCGTCGGCGGGAAGCCCAAAGATGAAGTCAAGACTCATCGACTTTAAACAATCAGCCGGTACGGGCAGGCTCTGTAGTGGAGCCGAAGAGTGCCCTGCGGGTTTGACCCGCTGACATGTTTCACATGTCTCCGAATAAATTACAAATCCTGTAAGGTAGTTCGTAATTTATTTTGAGAAAACATGGATGATACCTACCATTGTTTTGATACCTAACCCTTTTCAAAAACATGGGCTGTATCGCCAGCCTTTCATAAATCTCAGCTTCTTTGACTGAAAATGGATGGTAAAAAATTGAATCTGCTCTATTCCCAGGCCCAGTCACCAATAGTACTTTTGTTGCGCAGTGTATGTTCTGTGACACCTACATTTCATAGATGTTTCATGACCGGACAATGCGTTATGTTTTTCTTCAAAATGTTTTAAATTTACAGTATGCACGATGCAACATGCATCATCGGGCATTCCTCTGCGGCAATGATTCTAGTTTTTACTGGCGGTTCACGAGCGCCAGGAGCAGATCGCGGTACTCGCCGCTGGTGTCGCCGCGGATGCGTCTGCTCAGCTCCTTCCCGTACAGTTTCTTGTATGCAACCTTGATCTGTGGAAGGATGGCTTGGTAGCGTACTACAGCCGCACTAAGTCCGTACTCATCCGTGCCCAGACCCTTCATCGTGCTCTCGAAGAGTTCTGCCAACAGCTCGAACGGCTCAAACACCATCCGCACGTGGAAGAGCAGTGCCGCCTGAGCGTCGCCCTTGAACTCACCCTTGATTGCCTTAATGATGTTCGTCTTCTTGTATTTCTTTGAGTACGCAACGTCAATATTGCGCAAGTGCTCAGCAGGACTTAGCACTAGGATGGTGATGAACGTCGTCTCATCTGTGCCCATGCGATCTTCACCGGCCTTGTACAACGCATCCGCATCCGCAGCAGCCTTCGCGCTCGTGTGGATCGACGCGTTGAAGTCGGCCACCTCGCCACGCATAGCCGCCAGGATCACCTTCTTCAGATCGCCGCTCAGGTCGCTGCTTAGCACCTTCACCAGGTCCTCGCCGTACTTCTCCTGGAACGTCTTCTTCAATAGCGCGATCTCAGCGTTCGAGCGAGCCATCACCACCGGGTAGATCCACTCCTCTGTAGTGCCTAGGCCCTTTGTCGCCTTGCGCAGAATCTCCGCCTCCACTTGCTCTAAAGGACTCGCCAGCATCTGGAGCAGAACGCCGTAGTTGCTCGTGCTCTTCACCCACACCGTCAGACTCTGCTTGAACAGGATGCGGTAACGCCACCAAATCAGATAACGCTGCTCCACAGTCTTCGACAGCAGCAGCGACGCCAGCGCTGCCTCGTCAGAAGCTGCGCCAGTGCACACGCGCTGGATCTCCTGCGCAGCCGCATCGATGTCTGCAGAGAACGTCATTGACTCCAAGCTGCTGCTGCCCTCGCGTGCGTGGCGAGTGTAAAGACTACTCATCGCAGCTGTACCAGCAGCCACCACAGTGGCAGAGCTGGGCTCACCGCTCACGCCAGACGTCTCCGTCTTCGAGCTGTCAGACACGCTCCTCGTGCCAGCCACACTCTCCGTAGCACGCGCGCTCACTACACCACTCGACGAAACGCTTGCCTTCTCATCCACCGAAGCACTCATGCCGATGGCAGCACCACTCACAGAAGCGCGCGAGTCACTCATGACAGTGCTCGAACTCCTCACAGCAGCACCACTAGTCGAACCAGATTCCGACGCAGACGCACCGAATTCCACCTCCGCCGCATCAAACACCGACAGAAGCAACTGGCCGTACTCGCCGCTCGCCACGCTCTGGATTCGCGTGCGCAGCTCTTGGCCGTATAGGCGCATGTACACAGTACGAATGCGCACAAGAAGACGGTAGTACCGCACAACCCACGCGCTCACACCGTACGCGCTCTTGCCGGCACTCGTCAGCGTCGTCTCGAACAGCTGCGCCAGTAGCTCCACCGGCTCCAATACCGACCGCACCAGGAACAGCAGCGCATGCTTCGCGCCGCCAGAAAACTCCGCGGTGATTGCGCCCACCAGGCCCGTATTGTATTTCGCAATGTACGCAGTGTTAATGTTGCGCAAGTGCTCAGCAGGGCTTAGCACTAGGATGGTGATGAACGTCATCTCATCTGTGCCCATGCGGCCTTCACCGGCCTTGTACAACGCATCCGCATCCGCAGCAGCCTTCGCGCTCGTGTGGATCGACGCGTTGAAGTCGGCCACCTCGCCACGCATAGCCGCCAGGATCACCTTCTTCAGATCGCCGCTCAGGTCGCTGCTTAGCACCTTCACCAGGTCCTCGCCGTACTTCTCCTGGAACGTCTTCTTCAATAGCGCGATCTCAGCGTTCGAGCGAGCCATCACCACCGGGTAGATCCACTCCTCTGTAGTGCCTAGGCCCTTTGTCGCCTTGCGCAGAATCTCCGCCTCCACTTGCTCTAAAGGACTCGCCAGCATCTGGAGCAGAACGCCGTAGTTGCTCGTGCTCTTCACCCACACCGTCAGACTCTGCTTGAACAGGATGCGGTAACGCCACCAAATCAGATAACGCTGCTCCACAGTCTTCGACAGCAGCAGCGACGCCAGCGCTGCCTCGTCAGAAGCTGCGCCAGTGCACACGCGCTGGATCTCCTGCGCAGCCGCATCGATGTCTGCAGAGAACGTCATTGACTCCAAGCTGCTGCTGCCCTCGCGTGCGTGGCGAGTATATAGACTACGCATCGCAGCTGTGCCAGCAGCCACCACAGCGGCAGAGCTGGGCTCAACATCGGTCGCGGTTGATTTCGAAACGGCATGCTTGAGCTTGGAAGGATGCGGGCTCCGATTTATTGTTGGTGCGGGATTTTGCAGATTTTCGTCTTGTTTTTCGTTAGGAACAGATTTCAGGTTTGCTTCTGTCAAGAGAACGGTATCGTCAGGGAAGTTAACGAATGAAGAGATATTTTGGACGTGTCGGTTCTCCTTGTCCTCGTTTGCACGATCAACGACAGTGACGCGGTACTGGCTGGTACCGCTACCACTTAGGCCAAGCAAGAACTCCTCGTTGTCGATGTTCTGTGGCTGGGCAAACCCAAACTCTTGGAAGAGCCGAATGATGAACTTCGCGGGGCCATAGAAGACCGTCTCACCGCCCTGCGTGATCAGCACATTTTCATAACCACCGGACAGCTTAGGCGATTTCTTCAGCATGGAGGTCAGAACTCGTGCATTGGCGGCGTCTGGGACCTTCCTGTTCTTATCGGACACTTCATCGATCACCAAAACACGCTTGAACTGTCCGAGCTCAAGACCAAAGTCGTGAGCAGCAAGCTCGGGGAACTGTACTGACAACGTCTGAGACACGTTCCAAGCTGCTTGCTTTTCATCCAACGAACCAGTCTCGTAAAAGTTGTCACTGAAGTTTGAAAGATTCGTCAAGCAGAAATCACGCGAAAGCTGACGGACCTCATGTGAGACAATATTCTCGACGTCTTTACCCCTTCTTTCACAAAAGCTCACAAACTGAGCATGCCACGTCCATCTAAACAAAGATTCCTTCGCCTTGTGCATCTTCGAATCGCCTTTACAGAGACCCAGAACCACAAGCGTGTCCTCGTACGTCAAATTCACATTCCCTGCTATTTCAGAAGAGACGAGTCCATGCTTCAAACCACCAAAAAAATCACTCATCACCGTCTCCGTCGTCTCCGTCGCCTTCTTCACCTCCCTTGTTGTAGCAGTTGAGCCATCATCGCCGTGTTCAGGCTTGGAACGGGTGGCATGCACAGCAGAGCCGATCACACCGCCAGTGGCAGCGGCCGTAGCGACACCGATGGCAGCCGTCGCCAGGCCACTCACCTTCTTCTTCTTATCGCCAGAAACGTCCTCCGACGTCATAGGAGTCTCCTCCGTCGTGGTCACCTCGACAACCGTCTCCGTCTCCTCGGAGGTCTCGGGTGTCTGCTTGCTCGATCCCGAGCCCGCGTCACTCGTCCAGCCAGATGATACAGCGTAGCCGCCGCGTTCAGCCACACTGCGGGTCACGTCGCCACTCACGTCTCTACTTGCCAAGGCTCTTACGTCCTCGCTCGTCACTGTCTCCGTCGCCTTCGTCACCTCCATCGTCGTCTCAGTTGTGCCAACACCTCCGTCCCCACGCTTAAAATCATTCTCCTCAAGCATCTCTATCTCCACCGTCGTGCTCTTCTCGCCGGACTTCGTCTCCGTCTCCGTCGTGGTCTCCACCTCGATCGTCTTCACCAGCTCGCCGCTGGCAGACGTCGACGTACGCGTTGTTGTCTTCACCGTCTTCATCACGATGCTGCCGTCAGCCTCCTGCGACTGGAACACCTCCGTCTGCACCGACTCGCCGGGGGCGGCACCGGCCTCCACGCTCGAGCGGATGGCGCGACCACCCGACACGGTCGTCGTGCTGCCGGACGTCGTCGAGAGGCTGCTCTCCTCGACCTCGGTCTCCTCACGCGTCTCTGTCTCCACCGTCGTGCTCTTCTCGCCGGACTTCGTCTCCGTCTCCGTCGTGGTCTCCACCTCGATCGTCTTCACCAGCTCGGCGCTCGCAGACGTCGACGTGCGCGTTGTCGTCTTCAACGTCTTTCGTCACG